GTCTCTTAGCGACAAGGGCGGGGAATGAGCCGTCGTGGAACCGACGACTGCCACGGAGCCGTCCCAGTCACCCATCCAGTTTGGACGGGGAGGGACAGAATAGGGCTCCGCGACTACGGCAACACCTATCGACCACTGTGCCATGGTTTGCAGGAAGAGATCCTGCGCCGCGGCACAGTGGTTCAGGTTCGTCTGGACCAGGAGGTTGGAGACTTGATCCATTACTGGATCGTCTCTACAACCTCCTCCATGGGCGACGACGTCGACGCACGAACTACATCGGAGGCAGCCTGGGTCGACTGGCTAACCCCCGACGTCTGCCGAGAACTGCGGGGAGGCTTGCAGCCTCTCTGCCCCATCTGGTGATTGGCGGGCTTATTGCCCGCCGCACACGCTGGGCAGTGAGGGGCGGCAGAGCATTCTGCCGCCTTATGCCCCGGTTGACCGCAGCGGAAACACAGTCCGCCGCAGTCAAAACAACTGTCACACTTGACGCGCGTGTGTCCCGCGGCCAGGCATTTGAAACACCTCATCGGTCTCGCCGCCAGGACTGTGATCCTGGCGCTCACGAAACCGATGAGCAGCCTGCCGGCGACGGCCAATACTTTGGCCGACGCTACGGGACAGCTGACCCACACGGCGCCAAGCCCTCCTGGACCGGGGCGGATGGTGCCGACCCTGACGTTGTCCGCGCTGCACCCCGTCTTCTCCCGGATTACAGCGCGGACATCTTCGGCCGTCACTGAGTCGTCCAGGCCCGAGATGCGCAGTTCCGCGCACTTGGTAGGCCTGGCGACCCTGACACCATCTGTGGCTGCAAATATTCCCCGCAGCTTCTCAGCGAAGGAGTCCGCCGTCTTTGCGCCTTCAGCCCCAGGGAACTCGAGAACTCGAGCTCCCGTCTGGGCGAGGCGCATCCTGACCCCCACCGTCCCAAACTCGTTGGCGAGGCTGTCCCGGGCCTTCTTGAAGACGGCCGCATAGGACAGCCCGCCGTCAGCCGCCTCCGGGGACACGGTCACAACTACAGCCGCGGTTTTGGGCGGCTGCAGCTTCCGCGGCCTCTTTGCAGAGGCCGTTGCCACCGGTGGCGAAGGCTGGGCTTGGGCTGCTTTTTGGGCAGCCTTTCTGGCCCGCCTTCGGGACTTCTTGGAGCCCCTCGCCTCCTGCCAACCCTCGTTGGAGGGGGCAGGTGCGGAGGGGCCCGGCAGGGGTGTCGGAGTGGGGAGCGGAGGGAATGCCACTCCGCTCCTCGGCGCCGTTTTAGGCCCCGTCTTGGCCGGCGCCTGGGGATGTGCCTTGGCCGGCGCCTTAGCCGGTGCCTTGGCCGGCGCCTGGGCCGGTGCCTTGGCCCCCCTCCTCGTCGGCTTTTGTGGAGCCGATGGAGTCGGGGCAGACGCCGCCGCCGCGTAGGAGACGCGGCCTCCCACTACGGGGAGCGCGGTCGGAGCGGTGGCCTTAGGCCGCTGTGCCGACGCGAGCGGGGGGCGCATAATCGGCGCAGGGGGCAGTCTCGCCTCCAGGCCAGCCAGGCGTCCGTCCAGCATATTCCCAACTGCGATGAGGATTTCTCGCAGTTGGGAGTCAAATGCCCCTGAGTTGGTGGTAGGGGCAGGCTGGGACGCGGACGGGGCTTCCCGCTCGGGGAGGTTCGCCTGGAAGCGGGCGAACTGAGCACTCAGCTCGTTCACCCGCTCCGTCAGCCTCTCGTTGGCCACCTGCAGGCGAGAGACGTCGCCCGCTAGGCCCTCCACGACCTCCGACAAAGCGGAGGAGGAGTCCTTAAGGGCCCTCACAAACGAGCCCTTAAGGTTTACGGATTTGGTGGCCACCTTGTCGATGACGGCCACCGCCGCTTTCGCCCTCTCCTGCACGGACACGGGAGCCTGGGGGGCATTTCCCCCCACCGGCTGCCGAACCTTGAGCAGGAGATCCGCGATCTCCTCCTCCGCTACGGCCTCGCCGTCCACTCGTACGCTCCTGTAGGACTCCGCGTTTGAGAACGCGGAGCCTGACGGGGTCGAGACCGAGGCCGAGGCCGGAAACCCTATACCAACCCATCTGGCCAGCGTGGTATAGTAGGCCAAAACCTCCTTTCTAAGGAAAGGCTTATGTCCAGCAGTGGACTATTAAAGGCTGTTGATGACTGAAGATAAAACTATAGAGACATCCAGGTAGTCTGGTTATTAAACTTCTAATACATCAATTCACCTTTATGCATTTTCAATTTTTTTAAATTTAATTATTCCGTTATTTCGGTATACGAGTAGATGATTCTGGATGTGTAAAGATTGTGAGTTTGAGATTACAGGGAGGTTGGGCAGTGAATTGTGGTAAAGAAATACAGTAGGCAGGGATTTACAGCTTTCAAAGCTTTCAAGCTTTACGCACTATATAAACGTTTAGTTAATAGCTTCTTTTGTACTGTTCATAGTACATATGCATCTGCCATGTCCCTTACTGAACCATCTAACTAAAGGTTGACTGGTAGACAATCACATGTGGCATTAAGTCTGCCTCGTGCAAATTGTAATGCAGGAAGGGTAAAATATAAAAATAAAATATACTTGCTGTATAAACGACTGAGAATTCTATATTAATTAAAAACATTTTACATGTACGGTGTCTGTTGTGTGACATCTAATAGGTAAGTGTTTCATAATTCAACTCCAGATCGAAAAACACACTTCATCCATCGTCGTGACATTGTCTTATCTCAAACTAGGCAGAGTCTGTATTAGTATTTTTTAACAGATTAGTAATCAGATTTCTGAGTAACATATGTAGTTACGTATTCCTAAATACCATTGATAAATTACTCCCAAGCACACGAACAAGTGATCGTGGTCATCGCACAATTATTTGTGGGTTCTACTCCAGTGTCAGTTCAAATCCACGAACTCTAGCTCATTAGTCAGGATCACTATCCTAGGAGATAATAGAAGAAAAATGGCATTCAGTGCAATACGATATTTAGATGGATCTATGAATCGATCACACAACATTTGCAGAGTTAGAACAAACATTACCAAATATGTAACTGTATTAACAATAACATTAGGTACATACTATATGATGATAAATACATTAGTTATGTTATCTTCATGTTGTAGGTTTAACTTTGTGGCTTTACTAACTTTTAAACTTTCGCGTTCCATGATAATTAATATTATTTAACGGGAATTAACGCGATCTCTTATTTAGGGTATTACATACCTCTGGTTTGCCTGACGTTTCGACCAGGTTGCACCGGCCGTGGTCACAGGCTGACTGGCTCATCGGCGCACGCCCTCCGTCGTCGAATCCGTGAAGTAGAAGGCTCTTCATCTACCCGCACATTTTCGATATTATTTTTGTGTCGCCATGTACCGTCACATACCACACTAACAGTGTCCCTATTCTGTAAGCAAACCGATGAGTCCCTATTCTGGTGTTTAACCGATTGCGCAGAAAAGCGAGGTGGTATGTTTTTTAACACTGGATTCCACGCTGTAGATAATTTAAAACCATCTTCCCGATTGAAAGTTTTATGCTTTTTAATCTCAATCGCTTCACGTACAACTCTTGAGTAAAAGTGACGTTCGGTGGAGAGGACTTGCGTGCGGTGAAATTCAATCCAGTGGTTGATGCCTGCATCGAGTGCATGTTCTGCAATCGCTGATTTGCTCGTCTGTCGGTTCTTCACAGCAGCGATATGCTCTTTGACCCTTTCTGCAATAGTCCGCTTAGTTTGGCCTATGTATGAGCTTCCGCAGCTGCAGTCTATTTTATAAACACCCGGAGTTTGTAGTGGCAATGTATCCTTCGGTGTGCCGACGATGTTGTGAACCTTTATGCCTGGTGTGTATACTGTCGGAATGGAATATTTCTTTAGTACAGACCCGATCTTGTCCGTAACTCCCTTGACATAAGGCATATAGGCCGGTTGCCTGTTCACTTCTGGATACTTGCGTCTTATTTTCGGTTGCTTCCGTCCTCCTTTCACTTGATATCGTGCAGTTAAAGCCGTATAGCCGTAAAAAAGGTAACGACCTTTTTTACGGCTATACGGCTTTAACTGCACGCATGGCGTAGTGGTTTAAGCGGTCACCACGCCCGCTACTACTACGCTGAGTGTTGTGGGTCCGATGCGTACATGGGCAGACACTTTGTGTAATCTAACAATTGTTGTTCTGAGGTGTTCTTTGTGTTCGTTTCATGTATGTTTGAAAAGTTCACCGCGACACAGGATATATTCCTAGTGCGGGCGTTGTATTTTTTTTAATAAAATACATAAATTAAGATGGTGATCGGAAAGAAACAATTCATTCATTTAAAATTATATATTTGCTTTAGCTAACAATAGATATGTATTTGATACATATGACGAAAATAGTATGTTAGTTTATCACATTAAGTTTTTGATTCTTTATCTTATATTGCACTTTCAGGAGCCTAGTCTTAACGTCTGGAACAAAGAAAAAACGGTACTTATATAAATAATCTCATGATATACAGGCGTTATGCCTGGATATCATGAGATAATATTAATATTACTACAGGACATATTATACATCGCTAATTAAATTATAGTCAGAATATTCACAAGTAAATTACTGCCAGTTACAAACGCATAGCCTGCTTGATGGTAAACGCTTATCGGGGACTTTAAACCCAATAAATATTGTCACATGAGTGCCGCTAATCGATTTAATATGTTTACGGGAATTAAAGCAATCACGTTACTCAAAAGTATATAATGCCAATTACGTTATGACAATACAAATTAATCATTGGTTTCAAAAGTTTTATATTTAGCCTTTTCCCTTTTTATCTACACTAGGACTAGAAGCTAATAATGCGACGCTAAAATCTGTGGCATCAATTCAATGAGGATAGTTTGACTTACTCCTATTTTCCGTAGCCACCTCCGGATCCTCCACCATGGCCACCTCCGTGACTTCCGCCGTAGGATCCTCCGTGGCTACCACCACTGCTTCCTCCATGGCCGCCGCCAGTACCACCGCCTCCGTGGCCTCCGCTATGGCTGCCACCGCCGCCATGGCTACCACCGCCTCCGTGGCCTCCGCCGCTACCACCGCCTCCGTGGCCTCCGCCGCTACCACCGCCTCCGTGGCCTCCGCCGCTACCACCGCCGAAGCCACCGCCTCCTCCACTACCGCCGCCGAAGCCGCCGCCACCGCCACCATGGCCACCACCGCCGCCCCCTCCTTGACCACCACCACCACTTGAGCCCCCACCGCCGTAGCCGCGACGAACTCGGTGGAGCTCAGCTGAAAGACAAACAGATTGACTGAAAAATCTGCTCCATAAAAATAAATATATGTTCTCTTTGCTTGCTGCTCTCTGCACGTCCCATGGCCTTGATCAGAAAATGTGTGAAAATATGAAAATAAAGTCAAAAATTGCAAGAACTATTTTTGCATGTTTGCTTTTAAAAATATTTAGGTCTCCATCTCATAACATGTACATATATTTAGTCACGACAGGAAAGTTTATGGCTTACTTAACTACTGTCTTACTTTAACTAGTATTGTTCAAGAGAATAATCAAATACAATACAAAAGGATACACAATGTTAAAAATTAACCACTTTAATAAAAAATGTTGTTTGTAAGCAAACCTGAGGCTGCGCAGCAGACGGCGAGCCCTAAGGCGAACGCTAGTAGTGTAAGCTTAGCCATATTGGTACTGTGCCGAACTCAACACCGACCCAGCTTATATACACACTAGCTTATGTCATATCTTCATGAAGGATCAAATGCTTCTTAGACTCTTCATTTTTTGCTCCGTTTTTTCCTTCTTTTATTAAGGTTCCGCTGCAAATGTTAATTTGAGATCTTTTTAGCGGATCAACGAAATATTTTGCATTATATTTGTATATCATTTTAACGGAGCTGCTAAAGGATTCAGATGGAAATAATAAAGTATACTCGTATGGTGTTTTAAATTTTTTTGTATGTAATTACACAATTACATGAGTGTACTGAAGGTAATTAATGGTCCATGGTCCGTGTGTTGACGGATTAAGAATACAGTGTCACCAACCCTATTCATCCCGTGGGTGTTGTAAGAGCCGACTAAGGGAGAAAATTACGCAGAACAACAGCACTGCAGAGAGAAACAAAACTTGACACAAACCCTATACCAACCCGTCTGGCCTGCGTGGTATAGTAGGCCAAAACCTCCTTTCTAAGGAGAGGCTTATGTCCAGCAGTGGACTATTAAAAGCTGTTGATGACTGAAGGTAAAACTGTAGAGACATCCAGGTAGGCTGGTTATTAGACTTCTAATACATCAATTCACCTTTATGAATGTTCAATTTTTATTTATTTAATTATTCCGTTATTTCGGTATAGATGATTCTGGATATGTAAAGATTATGAGTTTGAGATTCCAGGGAGCTTGGGAAGTGAATTGTGGTAAAGAAATACAGTAGGCAAGGATTTACTGCTTTCAAAGCTTTCAAGCTTTACGCACTATATAAACGTTTAGTTAATAGCTTCTTTTCTACTGTTCATAGTACATATGCACCTGCCATATCCCTTACTGAACCATCTAACCAAAGATTGACTGGCAGACAATCACATGTGTCATTATGTCTGCCTCGTGCAAATTGTAAAGTAGGAAGTGCAAAATATAAAAATAAATAAATAAAATATAATTGCTGTAATATACGACTGAGAATTGTATGTTAATTAAGAATATTTCACATGTACGGTGTCTGTCATGTGACATCTAATAGGTGAGTGTTTCATAATTCAACTCCAGATCGAAAAACACACTTCATCCATCGTCGTGACATTGTCTTATCTCAAACTAGGCAGAGTCTGTATTACATTTTTTTAACAGATTTGTAATCAGATTTCTGAGTTACCTAGTTACATATTCCTACGAATGCTGGCTCAGTAGTCAGGATCACTATCCTGCGAGATAATAGAAGAAAAATGACATTAATTGCAATACGATATTTAGATGGATGGATGAATCGATCACACGACACTTGCAGATTTAGAACAAACATTACTTAATATGTTACTGTTTAAGGATAGTTCTTATATGTAGACCAATTACAGGCATGCACAGTATACATCATTAGATAGACACACATTTAAGCAGTAGCAAGATTAAGATTAAAGTGAACGACAATCAACAAAAATATAGTATTTAGAAAATTCACAAAGTGGCAGTCATGCAAACGATTTCAGTATCATATCTTTAAAGTGTATAAAGGAATTGTGGAAAATATCCTTTTGGTAAATTTTACCATTTAGCATATTATAATTGCGACATGCACGTACCAAAGGAGAGCTTAGTCCTAAATTAGTTCTTGCCAGTTGTAGGCAGAAAGTTCTAGTAAAGGGATGGCTAGGCGGCTTGCGAGGAACTGCAAGCATTATGCGGTCTGATAAGTCACTGCAGTCGATATTATTTCGATTGGATAGACAGTTCATTTTGAAATACTAGAGTCTCCGTTAGTAACTGCATCTGTGTGTGATAACAAACATTAGTTATGTTATCTTCATATTGTAGGTTGAACTTTGTGGCTTTGTTTGCACCGATGGCGTCGTGGTTTAAGCGGTCACCACGCCCGCTACCTCTACGCTGAGTGTTGTGGGTACGATGCCGATATGGGACGACACTTTGTGTAATCTGAAAATTGATATTCTGATGTGTTCTTTGTGTTCGTTTCATGTATGTTTGTAAAGTTCACCGCGACACAGGATATAGTCCTATTGAAGAAGTAAAATATGGTGATCGGAAAGAAACAATTCGTTCATTTAAAATTATATATTTGCATTAGCTAACAATAGATATGTATTTGATACATATGACGACAATAGTATGTTAGTTTATCACATTGAGCTTTTGATTCTTTATCTTATATTGCACTTTCAGGAGCCTAGTCTTAACGTCTGGAACAAAGAAAAAACGGTACTTATATAAATAATCTCATGATACACAGGCATTACGCCTGGAAATAGGAAATGCAAGGTAATAATAATATTACTATAGGACATATTTTACATCGCTTATTAAATTATAATCAGAATATTTACAAGTAAGATACTGCCGGTTACAAACACATAGCCTGCTTGATGGTAAACGCTTATCGGGGACTGTAAACCCAATAAATATTGTCACATGAGTGCAGCTAATCGATTTATTATGTTTACGGGAATTAGAGCAATCACGTTACTCAAAAGTATATAATGCCAATTACGTTATGACAATGAAAATTAATCATTGATCGTAAAAGTTTTATATTTAGCCTTTTCCCTTTTTATCCAAACTAAGAAGCTAATAATGCAACCCTAAAATCTAGCTGGCATCAATTCAATGAGGACAGTTTAACTTACCCTTATTTTCCGTAGCCACCTCCGGATCCTCCACCATGGCCACCTCCGTGACTTCCGCCGTAGGATCCTCCGTGGCTACCACCACTGTTTCCTCCATGGCTGCCGCCACTACCACCGCCGTGACTACCACCACCTTGGCCGCCGCCATTGCCGCCTCCGTAGCCGCCACCGCCACCATGGCTGCCACCGCCTCCGTGGCCTCCGCCGCTACCACCGCCTCCGTGGCCTCCGCCGCTACCACCGCCGAAGCCACCGCCTCCTCCACTACCGCCGCCGAAGCCGCCGCCACCGCCACCATGGCCACCACCGCCGCCCCCTCCTTGACCACCACCACCACTTGAGCCCCCACCGCCGTAGCCGCGACGAACTCGGTGGAGCTCAGCTGAAAGACAAACAGATTGACTGAAAAATCTGCTCCATAAAAATAAATATATGTTCTCTTTGCTTGCTGCTCTCTGCACGTCCCATGGCCTTGATCAGAAAATGTGTGAAAATATGAAAATAAAGTCAAAAATTGCAAGAACTATTTTTGCATGTTTGCTTTTAAAAATATTTAGGTCTCCATCTCATAACATGTACATATATTTAGTCACGACAGGAAAGTTTATGGCTTACTTAACTACTGTCTTACTTTAACTAGTATTGTTCAAGAGAATAATCAAATACAATACAAAAGGATACACAATGTTAAAAATTAACCACTTTAATAAAAAATGTTGTTTGTAAGCAAACCTGAGGCTGCGCAGCAGACGGCGAGCCCTAAGGCGAACGCTAGTAGTGTAAGCTTAGCCATATTGGTACTGTGCCGAACTCAACACCGACCCAGCTTATATACACACTAGCTTATGTCATATCTTCATGAAGGATCAAATGCTTCTTAGACTCTTCATTTTTTGCTCCGTTTTTTCCTTCTTTTATTAAGGTTCCGCTGCAAATGTTAATTTGAGATCTTTTTAGCGGATCAACGAAATATTTTGCATTATATTTGTATATCATTTTAACGGAGCTGCTAAAGGATTCAGATGGAAATAATAAAGTATACTCGTATGGTGTTTTAAATTTTTTTGTATGTAATTACACAATTACATGAGTGTACTGAAGGTAATTAATGGTCCATGGTCCGTGTGTTGACGGATTAAGAATACAGTGTCACCAACCCTATTCATCCCGTGGGTATTGTAAGAGCCGACTAAGGGAGAAAATTACGCAGAACAACAGCACTGCAGAGAGAAACAAAACTTGACACAAACCCTATACCAACCCGTCTGGCCTGCGTGGTGTAGTAGGCCAAAACCTCCTTTCTAAGGAGAGGCTTATGTCCAGCAGTGGACTATTAAAAGCTGTTGATGACTGAAGGTAAAACTGTAGAGACATCCAGGTAGGCTGGTTATTAGACTTCTAATACATCAATTCACCTTTATGAATGTTCAATTTTTATTTATTTAATTATTCCGTTATTTCGGTATAGATGATTCTGGATATGTAAAGATTATGAGTTTGAGATTCCAGGGAGCTTGGGAAGTGAATTTTGGTAAAGAAATACAGTAGGCAAGGATTTACAGCTTTCAAAGCTTCAAGCTTTACGCACTATATAAACGTTTAGTTAATAGCTTCTTTTCTACTGTTCATAGTACATATGCACCTGCCATATCCCTTACTGAACCATCTAACCAAAGATTGACTGGCAGACAATCACATGTGTCATTATGTCTGCCTCGTGCAAATTGTAAAGTAGGAAGTGTAAAATATAAAAATAAATAAATAAAATATAATTGCTGTAATATACGACTGAGAATTGTATGTTAATTAAAAATATTTCACATGTACGGTGTCTGTCATGTGACATCTAATAGGTAAGTGTTTCATAATTCAACTCCAGATCTAAAAACACACTTCATCCATCGTCGTGACATTGTCTTATCTTAAACTAGGAAGAGTCTGTATTACATTTTTTTTAACAGATTTGTAATCGGATTTCTGAGTCAGAGCTCAGTAGTCAGGATCAATATCCTGCGAGATAATAGAAGAAAAGTGACATTAATTGCAATACGATATTTAGATGGATGGATGAATCGATCACACAACACTTGCAGAGTTACTCGTAGAACAAACATTGCCTAATATGTTACTGTATAAGGATAGTTCTTATATGTAGACCAATTACAGGCATGCACAGTATACATCATTAGATAGACACACATTTAAGCAGTAGCAAGATTAAGATTAAAGTGAACGACAATCAACAAAAATATAGTACTTAGAAATTATACACAGATAAGCTTAAACAATGAAAATGGCAGTCATGCAAACGATTTCAGTATCATATCCTTAAAGTGTATAAAGGAATTGTGGAAAATATCCTTTTGGTCAATTTTACCATTTAGCATATTATAATTGCGACATGCACGTACCAAAGGAGAGCTTAGTCCTAAATTAGTTCTTGCCAGTTGTAGGCAGAAAGTTCTAGTAAAGGGATGGCTAGGCGGCTTGCGAGGAACTGCAAGCATTATGCGGTCTGATAAGTCACTGCAGTCGATATTATTTCGATTGGATAGACAGTTCATTTTGAAATACTAGAGTCTCCGTTCCTAACTGCATCTGTGTGTGATAACAAACATTAGTTATGTTATCTTCATATTGTAGGTTGAACTTTGTGACTTTGTTTGCACCGATGGCGTCGTGGTTTAAGCGGTCACCACGCCCGCTACCTCTACGCTGAGTGTTGTGGGTACGATGCCGATATAGGACGACACTTTGTGTAATCTGAAAATTGATATTCTGAGGTGTTCTTTGTGTTCGTTTCATGTATGTTTGTAAAGTTCACCGCGACACATTATATAGTCCTATTGAAGAAGTAAAATATGGTGATCGGAAAGAAACAATTCGTTCATTTAAAATTATATATTTGCATTAGCTAACAATAGATATGTATTTGATACATATGACGACAATAGTATGTTAGTTTATCACATTGAGCTTTTGATTCTTTATCTTATATTGCACTTTCAGGAGCCTAGTCTTAACGTCTGGAACAAAGAAAAAACGGTACTTATATAAATAATCTCATGATACACAGGCATTACGCCTGGAAATAGGAAATGCAAGGTAATAATAATATTACTATAGGACATATTTTAGATCGCTAATTAAATTTTAATCAGAATATTTACAAGTAAGATACTGCCAGTTACAAACGCATAGCGTGCTTGATGGTAAACGCTTATCGGGGAATTAAAACCCAATAAATATTGCCACATGAGTGCAGCTAATCGATTTATTATGTTTAAGGGAATTAAAACAATCACGTTACTCAAAAGTATATAATGCCAATTACGTTATGACAATGAAAATTAATCATTGATCGTAAAAGTTTTATATTTAACCTTTTCCCTTTTTATCCACACTAAGAAGCTAATAATGCAACGCTAAAATCTAGGTGGCATCAATTCAATGAGGATAGTTTAACTTACTCTTATTTTCCGTAGCCACCTCCGGATCCATGACCATGGCCACCTCCGGATCCTCCACCATAGCCACCTCCGTGACTTGCGCCGTAGGATCCTCCGTGGCTACCACCACTGCTTCCTCCATGGCCTCCATGATTTCCATGGCCGCCGCCGAAACCGCCGCCGTTTCCTCCGCCTAGACCGCCTCCGTGGCTACCACCGCCGTGACTGCCACCACCTTGGCCGCCGCCACCGCCGCCTCCGTGGCCGCCACCACCGCCGCTTCCGCCGCCTAATCCACCGCCATGGCTGCCACCACCGTCATGGCTGCCACCACCGCCATGACTGCCACCGCCTCCGTGGCCTCCGCCGAAACCACCGCCGCCGCCGGACCCGCCGCCGCTACCACCACCGTGGCCGCCACCACCACCATGGCCGCCACCGCCACCGCCTCCTTGACCACCACCACCACTTGAGCCCCCACCGCCGTAGCCGCGACGAACTCGGTGGTGCTCAGCTGAAAGACAAACAGTTTGAATGAAAAATCTGCTCTATAAAAAATAAATATATGCTCTCTTTGCTTGCGGTTCTCTACACGTCCCATGGCCTTGATCAGAAAATGTGTGAAAATATGAAAATAAAGTCAAAAATTGAAAGAACTATTTTTGCATGTTTGCTTTTAAAAATATTTAGGTCTACATCTCATAGGGGCGCCCGGCGGACTCACCGTCCGCCTACCGGCCCATAGTGTTGCTTGACGAGGTGTGCAAGCTCTTTGAAAGAGTGATTGCAAGGCGCCTCGTCAAGCATCTCGTGATGGTTGGGCCGGATCTGGCGGACAACCAGTACGGTTTCCGTCAGGGGCGCTCCACCGTGGATGCGATCATGCGCGTGAAGGCTCTGGCGGAGGAAGCAGTCTCTCGGGGCGAAGTGGTGTTGGCGGTGTCCTTGGACATCGCCAACGCGTTCAACACTATGCCCTGGAGCTGCATCAGGGAGGCGCTCGTGTATCACGAAGTGCCTCTCTACCTCCGCCGCATAGTCGGGGCATATTTGTCGGAGAGAGCCGTCGTCTACCCCAGTAGGACCGGTCTCGGTAGGCGTGAAATGTCGTGCGGTGTTCCGCAGGGGTCGGTGTTAGGGCCACTCTTGTGGAACATCGGCTACGACTGGGTGCTTCGTGGTGCCTTCTTGGATGGTGTCGCCGTCGTGTGCTACGCGGACGACACACTCGTGACGGCGCGCGGCAAGACGCACCACGAGGCAACCCTGAGGGCCACGGCCGGGGTTGCCCAAGTCGTTGAGCGTATCCGGCGGCTGGGTCTCGAGGTGGCTCTGCACAAGTCCGAGGCCCTGTTCTTCCACGGGCTTCGGAGGAAGCCGCCTGAGGGATCTAGCCTCACGGTAGGAGGCACTCGCATCGGCATCGAGCCCTCGATCAGGTATCTGGGGCTCGTACTCGATGGCCGATGGGACTTCGGATATCATTTCCGAGGTCTGGTCCCTAAGTTGGTTGGGGCAGCGCGTGCGTTGGCGCGGCTGCTGCCCAACATGAAGGGACCCGATGACTCCTGCAGGAGACTCTACTCGGGGGTTGTGCGGTCCATGGCCCTTTACGGGTGCCCGGTATGGGCGGGGGCCCTGAAGGCCAGCAACGTCGCGATACTGCGACGACCGCAGCGAATGCTGGCCATCAGGATCATAAGGGGGTACCGCACGATCTCCTTTGAGGCAGCGAGTCTCCTGGCCGGAACTCCACCGTGGGACCTGGAGGCGAGAGCCCTTGCGGCACTGTATCAGTGGCGCAAGGAGGCGCAGGAGTTGGGTCGATGCCCCGAGACTCGAGAAATCGAGGACCGGAAATCCCAACTCCGCCAGGTCATCATAGGGGAGTGGAGGGAACGACTCGGGCAACCGAGCGCCGGGCACGCCGTCATTGCGGCGGTAAGACCCGTTATGGAGGATTGGCTCGAGAGGCGTCACGGGACCCTCTCATACCGATTGACGCAGGTGATCACTGGGAAGGGATGTTTCGGAGATCACCTGTGTCTGATCCGCAAGGAGCCAACGCCTGAGTGCCACCACTGCGATGGCCAGACCGTGGACACGGCTCTCCACACGCTGGCAGAGTGCCCGGCGTGGGTTGAGCAGAGGCGAGACCTCGTGGCGGCCATCGGAGTGGGAGTTCTCTCGCTCGATAGCCTGATTGCGGCTATCGTGCGGAGCGAGAGTGCGTGGAACTCTGCCGTCTCCTTCTGCGAGCAAGTTATGCTCGCGAAGGAGACGGCGGAGCGGGACCGGGAGAGGTTTAGAACTCTCCCGGCCCGCCAGGCCCGGGCACGGGCCAGGCAGCGCAGGTCACTCAGGCGCCGGAGGTCGCAGAACGACCTCCGTCCTCCATAAGCGCAGGCCTGGGGGTGACAGGTGAGGCCATCTGTCACCCTAGCAGAAGCAGGCCGGGGTGGCGGCGAGCGCGTTGCGAAGCGCGCTCGCTTTCAGGGAGCACAGGGAACATGGGGTTCCCACACGGGGCGGGGGTCGTCTACTCGTCTGTAGATGACCCGAGGTATGTCGGGGCACCAGGGCCTTCCTTTCTAGGGTATACCTGGTTCCCCGGCTATTAGTACCCGGCGAAGGCGTGCGGTTTTAGTCGGTTCGTGTCCGACATGCCACCGACAGGTGGTATCCGAGGGGATTTCCGCACGGAAAAAAAAAAAAAAAAAAAAAAAAAAAAAAGGTCTACATCTCATAACATGTACATATATTTGGTCAAGAAGTTGAAAGTTTATGGCTTACTAACTACTGTCTTACTTTAACTAATATTGTTCAAGATCATCAATAATCAAATACAATACAAAAGGACACACAATGTTAAAAATTAACCACTTTAATAAAAAGTATTGTTGGTAAACAAACCTGAGGCTGCGCAGCAGACGGCGAGCCCTAAGGCGAACGCTAGTAGTGTAAGCTTTGCCATATTGGTACTGTGCCGAACTCAACACCGACCCAGCTTATATACACACTAGCTTATGTCATAACTTCATGAAGGATCAAATGTTTATTAGACTCTTCATTTTTTGCTCCGTTTTTTCCTTCTTTTATTAAGGTTCCGCTGCAATTGTTAATTTGAGATCCCTTTAGCGGATCAACTAAATATTTTGCGTTATATTTGTATATCATTTTAACGGAGCTGCTAAAGGATTTATGTGGGAATAATAAAGTATACTCGTATGGTATTTAAAAAATGTTGTATATAATTACACAATTACATGAGTATACTGAAGGTAAAACTATAGAGACATCCAGGTAGGCTGTTTATCAAACTTCTAATACGTTAATTCACCTTTATGACTTTTCAATTTTTTTAATGTAATTATTCCCTTATTTCGGTATAGATGATTCTAGATATGTAAAAATTGTGAGTTTGAGATTACAGGGAGCTTGGGAAGTGAATTGTGGTAAAGAAATACAGAAAGACAGCTTTCAAAATTATTAGTGACATTTACTGATACGTTCAGAAATAAATTAGGTTGACATCCTAAAATTGCCAGCTTCTATGTGGTGCCGGTTATGTCTAACGTCGACCTGAAAGAGGTCGGATAGATTGGGTCGTTTTTTTGCGAGACAGAAATCTTTCCTATTTTGTAATGTTATTGTCTTACAAACCACAGCCTGACACACGTGTTGTGTATGAGTCCTAGATATCATTTGTTTTCTACATGGTTATCGCTTATTCTCTGGCAGACTTATTCGTCACCGGAAGAAAGTTATGAATTGAATTATACGTTGTACGTTCTATTTAAAAATTCAAAAAATTCATAGACCTAGTAGATGAGGCATACACCTTTTAAACTATTATATGTTAAACTTTAACCAAAAGAATTCATAATGTTCTTCTTACATAAAGTGAAACATGACATATGTTATTGTTTCTGTTACACAAGGTATCGTGAGGATTATATCGGATTTGAGGTATTAGGATAGCGAATAATTATAAAATTATGTGTGTACGGAACCTTACAATATTGTAAACTTATAATATACAAATTAATATTCATGCGCTAATACACCGAAGTAGTCGATAACTGGTTTTTATGTCTATGAGGAGGTTGGTCGCTACTCTGTTCATTTAACTATAGCAATAACTGGTTTGTTATAGATATATAGTTATCTACTTATATTATAGATGCATATTGTAAATAAATGTGTGTAATTATTCTTACAAGGCATTGTTAGGTTAGCGCACCACTGGCAGCTACGACTTGAAAGCGAGAATAAAGATATCTGATGTCTGAGACCGCGCCTGCGTAGAATAGGCGTCAAATCTTACAGAGGAAGAAGACGAAGTTGCTTTTACATTAAATGAATAAACTATATTCCCTACATATGTTACGTAGTAAATACTATCTTTATTTTAACATATATTTAATGTACATTAACGTTTAAATTCATATATTCACATGAAAGAAAAAGTTAAAACCTTTTTGTAATAAAATAGGACTACGTTAAAGAGGTTATGGCTAAAAAGGGAGTGAGCAGTGAGCAGTCGAAGGATAGAGTTAGTGAGAATGGAAAAAGAACATTTACGCCAACCCCAAATAAATTAACTCTCAAAGAAGAATTTAAAATGAATTCAATTCAATCCTTTTTGAGTTGATAGTGATAGTAGTAATTGATTTCATTTTACTATTTATTTTCTTATCTTATATACATACTGGACTGTAAAAATTATCGCTCTCCTGACTGTTTTGCAAATTTTATTTTGGCCATTTCTGACAGGCTGAGGTCGCCAAGACGATTACTCGACTCAAGGAAAACTTATACCCTGAGATATAAGCTAGAGGAATATCACAAATCTCAGATGGGGATAAAGAACAAACTGCAGCAACTTTAATAGGACGGTATCGCGTACCTATATGTCCGTTCTGTTACGTCATCACGACAAAGACATCAACGGGCGACGACCACAAACAATTATAAAGAAAATTCGCTCACCACACATATAGCATGTGATGGACAATGTCCCTTTTTAATATTTGTAGAAAAAAATATTATTGTTAATACTAAGAAATATTTTTTCGTATTTACAAGTTACAAGTAAGTTACAAGTGACTTGATAAGGAAATATAATGTTTTTATTATTCGTACAATTATCATCGAATCAGTTTATCGGCCGCTCAATCGTAATACATCGTGACTCTGGGGCGGGGGTTTCCTAGGAACCGATACACCGAGACGGTCGAAGTTAAAACTAAAATGTACATTTTTGAGTTTTCCTTCTTAAACTGTAAGTCTCATTATTTGTAAATTTTGATGTCTTATACGTTAATTATATGGTAATAATACGGTTGTGATAAATGCAGTGGAATTGATGATATTTAAAATTTGATTCTCACGTCTGACGTGAAGTGTTACATTTTATTCTTTTTAGGAAATAACAATTGGCAAGCAAATATGTTTACTACAAATATACTTGAATTAAAATTATTGTAGGGAATAAGTACTTGTGATTTGTCGGCATAATTCCTTGTTATAAGTACTTCTTTGATTGTGAATATTTTTTGTTTTAGACGATTTCTTGGCAGGCAGCTGTGTAACTGGTTTATAATATTTAACCTGTTTTCGGTTACATCCCGCGGTTTGTGTGTAATAGGATTAACGGCACCAGTTATGTGATTTGATGTTAGGTGTAATCGAAATGACTGAGCTCTATATTTTTTTCCTATAAATTTCTTAATTCTTTATGTCTCCCAATGAAATGCTTAACTTCAACTATTAAGTACATTGAGATGGACGGTTACTGATGTAAGCAAACATTATCGAGGGCGTTCGCGGGAAACCTTAAAAGATTTTTTTACAATGAAGTCTTTTATTTTGATAAAATACTATTGGCAATAAACTGAATTGAGTGTTACAGGGCGCAGCGTATTTACATTACATTATTTTATTTACATTTATAGTACAATTTTAGAAAAACTCTGTTAAATAAGTTATTTTAAATTTTCGAAAATATGGACGCGACAGATCCTCTGATGTTGCAGGAAATATACTTTTGTCCTATATACAAAGTTTTGAAACTAGCATAGTGTGATTGACCGCATTAAACAGCCGGTCGATAAAATCGACCTGCTCGTCTTGAGAGTCTACGAAGGTTATAAGACAGCTAAGTCATCAACGTTTTAGTATCGGCGTCGGTAAATGTTTACCTCGAGGAGGTGATTGTTTGCTATGTAAATGCTCTATAGAATAAATCTAAAATTATTTTGTTCAGTTTATTAAGAAGTTACCTTATTTGAACGAGTGTGTTTGTATAAACCTATTGTCTCCTTTTTCAGGTGCTTGAGAGAGAGAGAGAGCAATCAATTAACCTTGTTATTTCAATAATAAGTTACTTTAACCCTGTATCTTAAGTGAATACCTGACTAATTATCTTATATTTTAATTTACAAAAATATCCAATTAACCTTTCTCAAGGACAGGCAGTTTGAAAAATAAAATATTTTTCTATTCGTCATTATTTTTTCAGCAAAAGGCAGCTGTGATTCAAATAGTCGTCACGGTCATGACCGGACCGGTTATGATACATTTATTTGTTTCGGGACTTTTAGGTATGTACATTAATCCGACCATGACCAGGATTTGATGTAGTTTGATTCGAAACTTTGAGAAAAATATTTGATAAATGAGTCAGTGGAATGGAACTCTGAGTGAGTAACTATGTAAAAAGGGACTACTAGTAAACATCTGGGCCTGTCTGAAGTTCATTTTAGTCGTTTTGACGTCTAAAAAATTAAGATTTGTAAAGATTTTGATGATGAAACCAGGAGTTAATTGTAATCGTCATTAAAGAGAGTGCTTTTCAAGTGTAATTAGTTTTGTATTCCGACGTCTTTGTAGACTGCTTAAAGAGTATTGTCTGCTGGCAAGTCGTCGGCTTTCAAAAACCCTCAAAGAATTCAAAGGGTTTAATGTTCCATATTACCATGTTGTGGTCACAGCAATTATGCAATTATTTCTATAGAATTGTGAACTGTGAATGTGCTGTGATTTATCATTTTTTACGTACGTAGGTTCGTACGTGTTGTTGCCAATAAGCTGTTTTCAGACAATGCATAAAGACCCTATTTCGCCTATTTAACAGTAAATCTAGTCATTATTTTATTACATATATGTAGCTACCATTCCCTACATGATAAATTTTAAAATTACTAGATTTACTGTTAAATAGCGTCTGAAAACAGCTAATGAGAAGTCAGTCAGCGAAATCACAGTTCACTGTGATTTCGTCCTATGTCTCCTACTTGTACAAAACAATTTACACTATTATTTATTGACAGAATTTGCTTTGGATGTAGATCGTCGGCGTTTGTAGATTCTTGAAGCTGGATCTTCTATTTAGTAGTTAAAGCAAAATTCCAATACCTAAATAGCAAAAAGAAAACATAACTAAAGTAGAATACTGAATAATATAATAATATACTGAATACTGGTTGTATTCTAATTATTGAATTTTGTTTTGTTTCACCGTATAATCATGCCAAAACATCTAGACGGCGCCATCAATTTTTTAATTTTTATCCTGATAAATTATTGCACATACCTAATATATACGAGTATACTAAAACAGTTGTTGTTGGAAAAAAAAAGCCGGTCCTAAATAAGTATTTGATACCCTAATTATATGTTGGCAGCCTTAGTCCTCCATCAGAGTATAAGAATATTGTCATATTTTTTTAACTTCAGCCGTTTGATTTGATCCTGATGGAGTGGTGGCATGCCAGGCCCACTCTAGTCCAGAGGGTTGTCATACGTTTCGTAAGTATCGGGTCCGGGCCGGTTCGCACTAGTTGTATCTATCACTATGCACAGATATGGTAAAGTCGACTCTATCGATGACAAATAATTATGTTATGACCTTGTATTGACGAGACTTGTATGTAGAGACGACCGGATGGCGTATTGGTTTGTGTAACGGACTGCTATTCCAAAGGTCGCGGGTTCGATTCCCGCTCAAGTCAAACATTTGTGTGCATGAACATTTAATGTTTGATTTGGTCTGGGTGTTTCTATGTATAATATGTATGTTTTCCAAAAAAAAAGTATATATGTATTTATATCACTTGTCTAGTACCCATAGTACAAGCTCTGCGTAGTTTGGGACTAGATGGCGTTGTGTGAATGTGGTCGAATATATTATATTATATTATTATATTATTGAGTATGTTAATGAGCAGCCTGGTTATTATAGATTAGGCTGTGCCTTGTTTTGGATATATTAGGTCTTGATAGTGTATAGTGTTTAGTCTAGATTCTGATTTCTAAGCGAGAGGTCGTGGGTTTGATTCCCACACAGTACAAATATTTTGCGATGTATTCCTCGAGTTGCAGATGTCCATGGCTGGCGGTTACTTAAAACAACGATAAGAAACACATTATGTGAATTGTAAGATCAATTTAAAGGGAATACTCTAAAACCCACTTTAGCTTTCAACTACTACAACGAAATCATAACCTTGTTCTATTCAGTGCTTGTTTTAAATTGGCATGAGTAACGCCATCTATGTCTATCATAGGAAATTAGGTTTATCTTGATTAGATACCACTCAAATGTTTATAGAGGATTTACCAAAGAGATTTAGAAATTACACTTCCAGAGCAAGCGACACCTTTCGATATATGTTGCCATCTTTTAACAATAAAATTGTTCGGTTCTGAAATTCTGTTAGAAGTTCATTGTGAACTGCGCCATCTGTCAATATTTTAATTAAACTATTTTTCTTTGTTTAGTTTGCTTTGATTCCAACAGAAGGATAGCGCTTGTCAGCTTACAGCACTAAGCAAAATCAAATTTTATAATTAATTATTTTATGTTCATTTTTTTTGTATTTCCTCATTGGCCTCTCTGTATTTGTCTAATATTTTAGATATAAATACAATATAATATTATATTAGGCATGAAGTCTGTTTATTTACTACTTTCAATCAATTTCCTTCGGGCGAGTTAACAGTAGGTTTCTTTTTCTCAAAGTTGTTAAGAATCGCTATAATGGTGATTATGATTTTATAGTTAGCTGATAAAAGATCGCTGAATCGCAATTGCAAAAAATCTCGGCATCGGAGAAGGTAGATATCTGGACCCCTATTCTGCTTGTAAACATCTTACGTGGCAAACAAGTAGGCACCCACCATGAGTGATTACCATATTCATGTCATGCAATAATGAAAGAGAAGCTTTGTAAATATGTGCATATAAAGAGTATCATATATTATATAAACTGCACGGAAACTGCTGCCTAGTGGTTTAAGCGGTCGCCACGCCGCTTACTACTAACCTGCGTGTTGTGGGTCCGATCCCCACATGGGACGACACTTTGTGTGATCCATAAATTGTTGTTCTGAGTCTGGGTGTTCTTTGTCTCCGTTTCATGTATGTTTGTCCCCCGAAACACAGGACATATTCCTAATGCGGAAGTTGTCTTTAAAAAAAAAAGAGTAGCTGAAGTGGCAGTGGGCTGACCATATTAGCCGCAGAATTGACAACCGTTGGGGTAAACGAGTACTTTAATGGAGACCGCGTTTAGGCAAACGTATTGTAGCCACAGGCCTGGTGGAGTGATGATCTGCGCAAGATGGCGGTCAGGAGCTGGATGCGAGAAGCCGAAAATTGATGTCCTGTTCTTGTACTCTTTTCAATTATGACTGATATACTGCTATGCTTGACGTGGAAAAACTATGCTTCGGTATAAATCGGCAGGCTCGACCGAAGTGGTACCACGGCCTTTCGGAAAACCCCTTCTCCCCTGACTCTTGGAGGAGGATTTACACGGCAGCAGGTGTCCATGGGCGGTGGTAGTTACTTTCTATCAGGGGATCAATATGCTGGTTTGCCCTTCTATACGATAAAAAATCCGTTACCTGCTGGAGCTCCTCCGCCTTTCCTTTTTCACATCATCATTCAACAGCCTTTAATAGTCCACTGCTGAACATAGGCCTTTTTAGGTATTATTAGGCCTCTATAGGTTTTGTGCCAAGTTTTCCTTCTCTTTGCAGTGCTGTTGTCCTGCGTAGTTTGCTCTCTTAGTCGGCTCGTACTAAACCCACGGGGTGGTGAAAACATATTTCTAAACCTTTACGGCTTTACCACACGGATGACACACCACATTTTCCGTTTTGCTTGCAACAATTTCTCTTCTTCTTCGTGCCGCCTGGAAACAAGTAAAGTCTCAAGAAGGTATTGGCTTTAAGCGGAAATGACCTAACTTTAGATTTATGTTATAAATAGGTAATGTAAAAGAAATGTTACGATGGCAAGTGGTCGCTACTCACCGTGATATGGTACAATAACAAGAACGGGTTTGGAGTGACGTAAATAATTATAATGGCGGTCTTCTGGATCGTTTTTTTTAATGTTAAAAGATATTTAAAGGCTAAGTTGTAGGTATTAAACAATTACATATTATAATACTTTTATTTTTTCAGTGCGGAAATCTCCTCGGATACCACCCATCGGTGGCTATGTCGGACTTGAACCTACTAAAAACCGCACGCCTTCTCAGGTAGCAGTAGCCGGGGAACCAGGTGTACTTTAGAAAGAAAGTCCCCGGGAAGTCGATGTACCTCGTGCCATCAACGCCGGGTAGATGATGGAGTTACACCACGGCCTCACAGAAAAGTGGTGCGTGACCCCTTCTCCAATTGTAAGATCGAGGGTCACTAAGGGGTAAAAAAAAAATGGGTCTCCTGAGTAGCACATGTCCATGACTGGCGGTAGTCACTTGCCATCCGGTCTGCTCGATAGCCCTATACTGTTGCTCTAGTGGTGAACCACCCTGACTGATAAATGATAAATGATATTTATTTCTGTAAGTAAATCTTTTCAGATATTTTTACAAGTCGGAAAATATTTTTACAAGTCGCAAGATATTTTTACAAGTCGGAGATATTTTTACAAGTCGGAAAATGCTATTTCATTTGGCAGACTATGACTTTAATGACACGTAAAATTGGGCAACCTTTTTGCTAACAACCGGGCACTTTAAGAAATAGATGGGAAAATTGTAGGTTCAATGTGAACCCGTCTGGCTAACGTGGTAAAGTAGGTAAAAAACCTCCTTTGTAAGGAGAGGCCTATGTCCCACAGTGGACTATTTAAAGGCTGCGATGAATATGAACAGGTAAGTTGCTAAGATGGGAAGGGAATGTGGTAGGAAAGGGATATTGCATATACGGATAATTTGAGGAGTGTTGCCAATGGCTGGAGTAGGTCAGGTCAGGATTGTTGCCAGATAGTTTAAGCTCTCTAACCTCAGATCTAGCTGCCTTAGCATACTTAAACATCATCATCATCATCAGCCTATCGCAGCCCACTGCTGGACATAGGCCTCTCCCATTGACGCCACTTAGATCGATTTAGATTTTACTTAAACATAACTTAACATAACCTCAGTAACAGCAGTGGACTATGAAGCGTTGTTGACGATAATGATGAAATAAAACAGTTTAGAATTACAAATGATTGAAAAATAAGAAAAAAAACATTTAAAAATGTAGTAAACATTTCAGCATTATATGTACAATAAATGACTTTAACATTATAATAATAATAAAGAAATTTCTGCAAATAGACGAACCAATACACAATACAATAGAATAGAATATACCTAATTAACTTCTCTCAAGAAGCCATTGCATTTACTTGACCCGTATATTTCACTAATATACTACCACCGAAAGCTGAGAAAGAACAAATTCGACATAACAATAATAATAATAAAATGTTGTTGCGAACACAAGATTTATAGGGTACATAAAAAAAATAATGAAAACAACAAAGTCCACAAACCAAAAATACAAATACACACAAAAAAAAAAGAATTATGCTGCCGTTTTGATGCAGTGCTTGTACATGCATGACGTACTCGTAATTATTCTTTGTGATAGACTTCCTATAATGATATTCTTACACCGGTCAACTCTGGACATGAGTTGTGCTATACACACATACTTTAACTTATATCTTTGTGACATCAAAAGGGCAAATTAATCACCAAGGAAATTATTCAGAATTACGACACACGGAAGTACCTTTATGATGATGGAAATATTGTCTATGGAATGAACTTGCTATGTTATCTGATTATAATTGGGTGTCTATTAAATAGAGTCAATGGAAGTAATTATCGTAAGTACGTATTATACCTTGAGCAACAATTTAATTGCTGTGTTTGTACAGTAGACTGAGCTTGTTAGGCAAGTTATACGTTAGTAATTTAAATCTTTAAGTACTTGATAATCATCATCATCATCATCATCATCATCAACAGCCTTTACTAGTCCACTGCTGGATATAGGCCTTTTTTTAGAAAGGAGGTTTTGGCCTACTACACCACGCTGGCCAGACGGGTTGGTATAGGGTTTGTGTCAAGTTTTCCTTCTCTCTGTAGTGCTGTTAGTCTGCGTAGTTTGCTCCCAGTCGCCTTTTACGACACCCACGGGATGTATAGGGGTGGTGACACTCTGTATTCTTAATTCATCACCACGCTTGATAAAAATTAGTTTAAAATGTATTTATATTCATTATGTTATCATCTTCTTGCTCGTGTGTCGTACAATAATTGTCCTGGGTGAAAATGGAATCCACGATCTCTGGTTTCAGCCAGAATCTCTAACCACTGGACCACCAGGCCCGTCTTTTGCTGTTTCTAGATGTAATTTATCTATAAAATGTATGTATTTAGAAATATATAGGTATGTTTATTCAGAAATATACGTGCCCTGTGATAGCAATAGTCTTGCCACCTATTAAATAAGTAGGACAAAAATTATGGCGTTGTAATTGCAATATTTTTGTATGTGTTTGGCACGATTCTTGGAAGCTAAATTAGAACCATTTCCCGCTGTCCGATAGGGCTCAAATTTTGTGTAGGTACATACCTAAGTATGTATTTTTATAATACAATAACATGGTACCATGGAGCTGTTCTAATGATGAAGTCGATGTTATTGTACAATATTTTTTACAATTAGCTTATAAAGGTGTTAACATATAAATCCGTGTGGTGATGGATTAAGAATACCATAGTTTTACCACCCCTCATCCTGTGGGTGTCGTAAGAGCAAACAGCAGGACAACAGCACTGCAAAGAGTAGGAAAACTTGAAACAAACCCTGTACAAACCCGTCTGATCAGTGTGATATAGTAGAGCAAAACTTTCTTTTTAAGGAGAGACCTATGTCCAGCAGATGACTACTAAAGGCTATTGATATAAATGCGTAAGTTCACAATGAGAGTAAAGCATAAAAAAGGTCGAGCGAGGTTATCTAGTTTTTCGGTCTAATACGTTTCGCATTTTAATTGGTTTAGATATATTTTTTGTACAATTTTTTAGGAAAAGTTAATAATTATACATAATAGAGATCAGTTTGAGTATCTTATTTTTTCTTTGTATTGATTTTGCATTTCAGGCGTAGATAACGCACACACTGTAACTTTGGATGTTATGATCAACAAATAATAAAATGTTTAATATTGATTGTTATAGAAGCTAATTAATTATTTTATTATTTTGTCATTGTTGTGATACTCATTCGTGACTCCATATTCAGAAGTTTCTAACGAGTTTAGGTAACTTGAACGAGTTTATGTACTTTTATAGAAACACAACTTCCTTGGTTCCAATCTGTCAATAATAGTGTCTTTTATTTACTGATACCTATCGTTATTAAGTAATTCAATGGTTGAGTTTATTTACAACTCAACTACTGAATTACTCAACACCGCCGAAATGCTGTTTAGTGTACTATTCGTCAATAATTTACGACAATCGAATTGTAAAAAGAATAACAAACGATATTATGATAAATTACTTTAATGACTAAACACAAACGAAATTTCTTAACAATCAATATGGCCGTGAAAACCTAACTGACTAAACGTTTAGGGAACAGAAGACTGACACAGTACAGATTAACTATAATTAACTATAATTAACCGTAGCTACTGGCGCTTGCTGAGGCCGAAGCATTAGCCAAAGCATGTGCTCCTGAATGTCCCCCATAACCTCCGCTCCCACCACAACCAGATCCACATCCACTTGAGCCAGATCCACCATAGGCTCCTAATCCCCCAGAACCTCCACCTAATGAGCCGCCATATGCACCTCCGCTACCACCGTTGCCGCCTGCGAATTCCAATCCACCAGCTATCAATCCACTTCCTCCGTGACTACCGCTTCCTCCAATGCCACCTCCATGGCCCCCACCAAAGCCTCCGCCATACCCTCCTCCATATCCACCACCAACTCCGCCTCCCTTTCCGGCACTACCGCCAAGACCACCCAATCCAGATCCGCCAAATGCGATTAACAGGCCGCTTGATCCTCCTAATTCTCCACCTGCACTACCATGTCCGGAAGTGCTTCCATACCCACCAGCACTGCCACTGCCTCCTCCAAAACCACTACCCCCACCATAGCCACCGCCGCTTCCTCCACCAATACCTCCTCCATAGCTACCACGGACGCCGTGACCATGGCTGCTCCCGCTGTGACTTTCACTAACTTCAAATCCACTATTGCCAGTTCCAGCAACTCCAAAATTTCCACCACCAGAACTACTTCCATGTCCACCTCCTACCCCGTAACCACCTCCAAATCCACCGCCACTGCCACCGCCAATCCCTCCTCCATGTCCTTGGCTACTTCCGTGGAGACTACCTCCGGTATTACCGCTACCACTGGCTCCAAGTCCCCCGCCACCTCCAAATCCAATTAAAAGCCCTCCATTTCCGCCACCAGAACTACTTCCATGTCCTTTTCCTCCCCCGTAACCACCACCGCTTCCACCGCCAATGCCTGATCCATGGAGACCGCTGCTTCCACTTCCGACAAAGGATAATCCACCAGAACTACCCCCGTGAATTAATCCGGTTCCGGCATTACCACCCCCGTAGCCACCTCCGTATCCACCACCACTGCCGCCCCCGATACCACCTCCATGACCACCACTTGCACCTGCTCCTCCAGAACCACTGGAGCTAAAATCACTTTCTTCACTTCCACTACCGACAAATACGATGTTCAGACCACTGTTGGCCTCACCGCTACCTTTGCCACCGAATCCACCGCCACCGGAGTGACTACCGCCTCCGCTTCCACCATGACCTCCATAGCCTCCTCCGAGGCCGCTACCTCCTCCAAGGCCACCACCTCCTCCAAGGCCACCACCTCCTCCAACACCACCGCCATAACCTCCGCCGAATCCAGCTCCACCTCCACCTCCGTTTCCACTTCCACTTCCACTATATCCACCTCCACCCCCATACCCTCCTTTGCCACCATCAACTGTTCCTGTGAAGGCAAAACCTCCAGATTTTCCATCTTCAGATTTTGTATAAATTGTTTTTTCACTTCCCCCCCCGATACTGCCGCTATATCCGCCAGCAGAGTTTCCTAAGCTACTCAGACCGCCAGTGAATTTGCCGATGATGCCACTGACTCCGTCACGAATACCTTCAAGGCCAAAGCCTCCGCCAGCTCCACCGCCAAAGCCAAGTCCACCACCACCTCCTCCTCCTCCTCCATATCCAAATCCACCGCCGCCCCCACCCCCGCCTCCGCCGTAACCCCGACGGATTCTCACTGAAAAAAAGAAAAAAAAAATACTTCAAAAAAAGTTAAAATGATTGTAAAACATGATAATTTTTTCGCAAAGTCAATGGTGTAAAAACTGTTTTTTACTAAGAAAATTAATGTGAATTACCTGATGCATCGCTAAAGCCTATTATCAGGCAGAGGACAATGCAAGAACGCATCGTCTTCATGATTCCTTTGTACTGGCCACGAGTACTCGTCAACATCCTTTTATATTGAATGGAGACGTGTTCAAAGTTCGAAGCAAATGCTACATACGTAAGTGCGGGAAAAACAATTAGTTTTTATGTATTAAAGTTCCCACAACAGGTTATGAATGTTAGTAAAACCAGTGTTTTTATTGCCTAAGATTCGTCAGAAGCGATAGTAAATTTTGTTGTATTTTATTATATTTAAACTATATTACTCTATAATATTTATCAAGAGTGTAAACTTAGTATGAGCAATGACGTCACTATGGAATATCCTATTTTGCGATTCATGTCAAGTTAAAATTATTGACAGTCTAATGTCATGCGGCCGATAAAAGACAGAGATATCTTGGGATGCACTAATATTATACATAGATGCGAAAGTGACTCTATCTCTCTCTTACGCTTTCATTTCTAAATCGCTGAACCGATCTTAATAAAATTTGGCACAAAGAGAATTTGATTCTCGAGGAAGGAAATAGGGTACTTTTTACCGCGATAAGCGATATACACGTGGTCCTCGCCACAAGCAAGTGCTAGTAAATTATATAAATTGTAGTTAATGAAAGCTTGCGTACTAAACAATTTTAACTATGAATTTAGACGATTGCGACAATTGTCGGTAATTTTGTTTTCAATACAACCGACTTTTCAATCAAATATGCAGCCCGCTTAATGGTAAAGTAATCACCGGTGTTTCTAGTCGTCAACTAAATGAACCAACCCTTTAGGGGTGCTGGTCCTTCTTCAGTCATTTCTGTCTGTCTGGATTTGTTAAACTCCAAATGCATCGAACGGATTTTCTAATAGGTACAGTTTGCACCAATAGAGGGACTCGTTAGGAAAGTTTAGGTATATAGTTTATTAAGAAATGTGACGGCAATTATTAAACAATGAAAAAAATTATGTCCACCAGGAGCTTTAGTGGCGTAATGAAGGGATATGAAAACAAAGTTTTAGGGAATAATTACTTATGAAAAGATGTTTTAACTATGACAAGAAAAAATGTAGGCATGTGCTTAGCTACCTATGGGAAGCCGGGCGGGTTGCTAGTTAATGCATAAACATTAGTTTTCAGAAGAAGCAAACGTATGTAAGTACAGTGTAAATTTGACTCGCATATAAATTAAGTTTTTTAACTATAATACAAAGTCAAGGCAAGGCCAAAATCGTCAGCCAGTACCTAAAATGAGTCATTTAATAGCTTCTTTTTTCTTATGATGTATTGTATATCATTCATTTTATTTATAGAGAGGTAGACAGGAAAGAAGTGAGCCTGTATCACATCACATCACATCAACAGCCTTTAACAGTCCACTGCTGGACATAGGCCTCTCCTTAGAAAGGAGGTGTATGAGCCTGTATGTAACATCTAAATCTAATAAAATAATTAAAAACATGTAAAACTGAAATACGGTTTTCGCAATATAGCTTTTTACTGCTGAAAAGAGATCATATTACCTAATTAATAAGATATTACAGCTAGTGTAGGCATCATCATCACCTGATTGTGGCATCTATCGTTCAGGACATTTTGCAGAACTTTATAGAGTTTGCAGCGACTGTGTAGCTCCTCTATTAACCCAAATTGCCGTTTCACTATATCATTTTTCTACATCTCCAAATCATTTGTCTGAACTGTTTTTTTTTAACAATGTAGTAAGTACTATTTCATTTCCCATTTTGGTATACAGATGGAAAAGACCGCTGTACAGCACGTGATAAGACATGAAAGTGGTAAAACAGAGAATGACATTTTGTGTGACAAAATTTCTACGCAGACGTAGTTGCGGGCACTAGCTCCCTATTACTAGTAGTTTACAAGAAGATTGTAAAACAATATAATGATAAATGCTTTACTAACTACATCCTAAGTCTACTTTATGCCATGCAGTATCATTTATCTATCTTCATGAAATTTTGCATATACCTTATGTCCTTCAATGTTTTTCACATTAAAAGACATAATTAGAACATACCTAATATCGGTTTTATGTTCTAATTATGGGAGGTCCGCACTTTGCATCCAGAAAAAAAAACTCCGAGGGTTGAAAAAAACTAATTTCATGAAAGTGAAGCCTGGGAAAAGTTAGTACTTTAAACAAATGTGTCTGTTACACTTTCACGCCAACCTGTTCAACCAATATCATTAGATTTTGTATAGTTACATGTTGGCAGGTATTCTACAAAAAACAAAGGACAGGGCTTTCATACAGAAGAAAAGGTTCCATAGCGACACAAAAATAACTTTTACACGAGTGATTCGGCAGATCAAATGAAATCTAGAGTGCAGAATGCAGTTCCTCGTTCTTATTCATATATACAACAAACAATATCCAATTGTTTATTAATCTACACTAGATAATTATGCTACATGATGGTCATTCAAATAACTTTTTTCCCATGAACTACAACCAGGAATGACGCAACCTCGATCGATGAGTTATCGACCTTGGTATATTAATGTAAGTGTACTTTGTTTTTATTTACAGCTGATAGATACGATTTAATTCTAACTGCAATATTTAATATTATTATGTAGTTAAACTGAGCAATCGAAGATCCCTTATCCACGTGCTCAAAATATTAATTTAATGATTTCACACATGGCAATGTGAAATGCTAAATATTTGTTATTAAACGCATCAGTTAAGAACGGCTGTATAAATGTGAAGAATTCTTTGTTTTAAATGTATATAATTAATAGTTGGTAAAGAAGTTTAAAAACAAGCAGAGAAAAATGACGAAACTTGCGTAGAACTGGAAGGGATTTTCACATGCATTTGTGACGTTTGTCAAACTGGTGCTGCTTATTAGAGACACGTAAGTTTATTAACTAGCCACTGCTACTGACTAGAAAGTAGGTACTGCGTGGCCGACCTTTGAAGTGTGAGTAAGCTGTTTTCTTGATGATTTACAATATTAGTACGTGAAGCGAAAACATTGCACCCCTTTTTTAAGAAAATTGCGCTAACGGAGGAACGTGAAACTTGATACTATTAAAGTTTATATTATATGAATAAAGCTATTTTTTTATGAAATGCCTTGAAATACATGATGATACCTTTCATTATAGATATATAGTCTTTGACAAAAGAACCCTAATAAAGTTTAAACTTCAAAATTAAATGAATTATGGTCGAATTTCGACCACTGGGCGACTTTTAAATAGTTCATTGGTGCTGACCACAGAACACTGAATAAACTAGAAATGCGAAAACACATTTGGAAAAACTTATTTGTAATCAAATTGTACCGTCTTGTAGTGAAAAAAAATATGAAAAAATTGGGCAATTTTTTTGGAATCTATGTGTTAAAAATATATTAGCATTTGATTTTTTCTGTTACGCACTTTAAAAGAGTCCACAGATAAAAGTCTTTTATAACATAGCTACACAAAGTTTCCTTTATTTTATCGATTTGTCTATGGCTATCGACTTTACATAACTATTTGATAATTATAACTGTGTGTGTGCTGTTTAAATAAAAAAAAAAAGATAAAAAAGAATTATTATAGTCCACTAGCTTTGGAACTTTCGTAGGTTATATTTTTATGTCACTCTTAATGCGTCTGATGCTTGAAATAATCATCATATACTTATGTACATCTGCATATATAATATCCAATATGTATATTTCTTTTCCTTAATTTATTACCTACTTCAACATTTAATGAAATGTAAATTCTAAACCTAAACTAATATAATCGGCGGCGGCCGCTTGTCGCGTCAGACGTTTAATCTTAATATTTAAACACAGAGCGCAAACATCTGTCAAGAGTTGACAAAAAAACCTTTGCTTTTTTTCAGCTTGCAGTTGCCACTTTTTTTACCTAATTATATTCCACTACACGATTTTCAAATTCGTAAATAACGCGTTTAATAATGTACCACAAACTAGATTCTTTATTAATTCAGTACTTCGAATTATAAAACTATTATCTGATTACGATATTACTATTAAGTGATTACAATATTACGATACTTTATTGGACAGTATTTCCATCTGTAAAATGGTAACACTAAGCTGATAAAGGAAATTAACAATCAAATAAGCTCCGAGGTGCTTCTGGCATATTAGGACTGGGAAGGATCTTTCGAAGGATGGATGATGATGGTAGCACGCAACTGACTAAAGAGGAATTCTTCAATGGTATTAAGGAGACCGGATTGGAACTTCGCCATAAGGACGCCGAAGAATTATTCGAGAAATTTGATATAGATAAAATCGGCTTCATTAGCCTTGATGAGTTCCTTAGTCAGATTCGGCCTCCTAAGGCCGACTCACGTCGTGCGATTGTCGAACAAGGTTTCAAAAAATTGGACACGACTGGTGACGGCGCCATTACTGTTGAGGATATCTGTGGAGTCTATTCTTTAACTGCACATCCAAGATATATGAGCGGTGAGGAAACAGGCGACTTGATTCTGAACAAGTTTTTTCTTTCTTTTCCTGGGGTTTTACTGACTTAGATGATAGTATCAAAAAACGTAGATATTTACTAAACTTAGTTTCCTATGAATGACATTTTAAGACGCTCAAATTATACTCAACTACGAATTCGCCATTGCTGCATTGTTCTTTTGATACATTTTGCACGAAAGTATTTAGTAAAGTTACAGTTCATATTTGGTGTAGTGATGTAGCCAATCTTGTTTTAATTCATTCAACATAGCGATATTATACCTATCGATGATTTTGGTTTTCAAATTATTTTCTGTTTGGTACACTGTTTTTTTTTGTATTATGATTCTTAACCGATAGCAAAAAAGAGGGGAGGGGAGTTCCGCACAGAAAAAAAAAGGGGCAATAAATGTTTTAATTACATTATATTTCAATCACTTTATTTAATTATATTTTATGGTTTTTGAATTTACAAAATATTTTAGTATTATTTTACAATAAAATGTTTATGAATAGTAATGTGCGACTTCAGAGTTCCAGTCAAATAAATAATTTACTTAAAAATATTTTCTTGCTTTTTTCGATAAATGGCAAAAGTACTACGTCACTTACCGAACCGAACCGACTCTAGAACAATGCGAGTGGCGTGAAACGCTACCTTTTCTTGAAGGTTTTAAGGTTCTATTTAGTAACAATATAAGTGGCGTTTAGGATTTACAATCAATAAATCCCGCTGGACGAATTAACGTAAACTTTTTTATGTACGTAAAATTATTTATTTTATTTATCGTTTATGTACGTATTCTAGGCGACAACGGAACTCTTCTAATTTACCGGTTATCGCACTTCTAATGTTTATTCACTGTTCTGTGGTGGTGACTTATTATTTTGATTTATAACACTACAGAATAATAAGTCAGTATAATACAGTAGTCTAGCCTAGTCTAGTCAGTATTTTACAGTTCGGTTGTTAGTTTTTATTATTTATGGGCTAAAATAGAATTAATTCCAATATTTCATATTGCATACACTTTGCTAGGGATACGAACAGCAGCCCCGACTGAGAGGGCTCCTCAGCGCGTGGAGCGGATCCGCTGGCTAGGTCTCGAGGTGGCACTGCAAAAATCCGACCCCTTGTTCTTTCATGGGTCTTGAAGTGGGGGGTGGGTCAGCTAGTCTCCTGGAACTCCACCATAGGACCTAGGGCCGAGAGCCCTTGCAGCTCTGTATCAGTAACGCAAGGAGGCGCGAGATTTGGATCGGAGTCCTCAAGAAACAGAGAGCCAGAAATTCAAATTACGCCGGGTCCTCGTGGAGGAGTGGAAGGAAAGACTTGGACAATCTTGCGCAGGGCACGCCCTTACTGCGGCGATAAGACCCATTATGGAGGATTGGCTCAAGAAACAATACAGAACCCTCTAACACCGGCTGACGCTGGATCACCAGGAAAGGATGTTTCGGAAATCACCTGTGTCTGATCCGCAAGGAGTCAACGCAGTATGTATTATAGGTCTCAGAAGACATGAACTTAAAAATAGAATTTCAAGCTGACTTCAGCAGCTAAATTATCAAGAAACAGAAAATTTACTGGAAACAACTAATTAATTTATTTATTTTACTTTACGCTACACTGTTTTTTATTATACCTATTTCATTGTATTGTTATGACTTGTAATGCAAGTGCCTTATATTCACTTTTAGTGTAATCTTACATGTAAATATATATATCTGCGGCTGGATACTGTCATCCAAAATACAGGCTTGGCCTAGTTTGGTAGACAGCATTTAGTACCGTCTGTGTCATAGATTTGTACTTATTTTTTGTAGGGACTAATCCCACTCACACGACCACCACTGTAACTCCTGTGCACCAGGATTCACAGCAGTGACCCACGAACACACCGAGTTATGATACTCTCGAAGTCCCAGGAAGAAATTATAGAGTTGTACTATGTGATATTGTACCTCAACAGTGAATGTAATTTTAAATGCAATAAAGATTATTATTACTACTAGCTGACCCGGTGAACATAGTACCGCCATATTATCGTTATTTATTCGAATTTATTCAATATTCCTGAAAGACTTGTTTTGCCATTTATGGCCGCCTCTTCATCACACGGGTGGTGTATAGTAGCAAACCAAGGAAATGTCACACTTCCTGGCAAATGCAAAAAGGTCGGATTATCAATAATTCCATATAATGACATTAGATTATCGAAAGTAATTAACTCGTCAAATTAAAAAGTACCGGAAATGTTACACGTTACGTGCTTAATGCCAAAAAATTAAACAAAATCTTCCGTTTACAATACGACCATGTAATTAAATAAAATTATAATAAAAAAAAGTCGCCCATAACCTATTGCAATGCTTTGTAATGTACAATATTCTTCGTTTTTCATTCTGGAGAGAAAACAAATAGCGCCGATGGTTGCCGACTCTCGAGCACGCAACGTACAACTTCCCATGCGAAAAACACGGCAATTAAAGTTTTATTCCACACGTTCGTAACGATTGGCCTTGGGATTTATTAATAGCCATTGCGAATGCAAGGCGTACTGCAACTGATTATGCTCAAGTAAGAGTTGTTGCAGCTGTATGATGATCTCTCTCCTACCTGAACAATTGATAGCACAGCGTTGGTTTACTTCAGCTTCAGAATTACCCAGGAAATAAGTTTGAAGAAATTTTGTAATCACCGTCAACTGAATGTAATCATCAACCATCAAGTGAATTATTTGTCCTTGAATCTGTAATATTGTACACAAGGAAAATATTTAAAGAAATTTGCTTTTATTTTCATTTTATTTATTTATTTATACTCTATGCACAAAGGTGACAAAGGCGGCTTAATGCCGTAATCATTTTCTCGCAGTCAACTTTAGGGCGATGCAGAGCTAAAACATGGTAGATGAACAAATTAAAAATGCAACTTAATGAAAAATATGGCATATATATGTCATATACCCAGAGTAATAATATTAATAGGTCTTAAACATAGCACACCATATGAGCAAGATGAAGTAGGAAATGCCTAGCCATATTAGCCTGGAGAACCAACAGCCGTTTGGGGCAAGGGAATTCTATCCGTGTGGTGACGGATTAAGAACTTGGAGTGTCACCACCCTTATTTATCTCGTGGGTATCGAGGGAGCAGATTACGCAGGACAATAGTACTGTAGAAGAGAAGGAAAACTTGATGCAAACCCTATACTAGTCCGTCTGGCCAGTGTGGTATGGTAGGCCAAACTCCCTTCCATGGAGAGGCCTATGTCCAGCAGCGGACCATTATAGGCTGTTGATGTAATGTTATGATGAAACGAGTTGTATTCTTCGAGTTTAGATCGCGTCTCGGCAAACGTAGTGTAGGACGCCAACAGATTAGGGGAGTGATGCTCACGGGGGGGGGGAGGGTCGTCTACTAGTCTGTAGATGGCCCAAGGTATGTCGGGGCACTAGGGACTTCCTTTCTAGGGTATACCTGGTTCCCCGGCCATTAGTATCCGAGACGGCATGTGGTTTTAGTCGGTTCGAGTCCGACATGCCACCGATAGGTAGTATCCGAGGCGATTCCCGCAAAAAAAAGGGGAGTGATGCTTTGCTCAAATGACTGGCAGGAGCTGGACGCGAGAAGCTAAAGATAGATCTAAGTGGCGTACAATAGGAGATGCGGAAACGTGTCTCACTTCTGATGACGGAGAACCGATGTCCGGGTTGTTTTTAAATAGAGTGACGTCTGACGTAATTTTTAGATTGTCGTAGTTTTCCTTTATAAAAGCAAGTAGTAGTAAATAACAACAACAACAGTAAATACAATTAAAGATGTATACCAAGTTCTTACACACAGTCGTACATAGATCCGTACAGTAGTAAATAAAGACAACAATTAATACAGTCAAAGATGTATTCCAAGGTCCCACCAACAACAACAACTGGTACATAGATCCGAACAGGCGCAACGCATCGTTCGTGCACTTTTTTACAAGTTGTTTTTTTATTTATGGAAAAAAGGATGGAAAGCGACTACCGCCGCCCATCAACGCCTGCGACTCAGGAGTCACAAGCGCGTTGCCATCCTTTAAGGAAGGAGTACGCTCTTTTCTTCAAGGTGTGAAGGTCGTATTGGTCTGGAAATACCGCAGCTGATAACTTGTTCTACAAGTTTTTTAGTGCGAGGCAAAAAGTGTCTTGAAAAGCGCACAGTGGTGGAGCGCCAATTATCTAAGTGGTGGGTATGAAAATTTTGCCGTGTGGAACGAAGGCGGAAGGTTGCGGCTAGTATTAGTCCGAACAATTCCTCGGAGCACTCTCCAATCTTGGACCCAGATCGGACCCTCTCATACCGGCTGACGCAGGTGATCACTGGGAAAGGATGTTTCGGGGATCACCTGTGTCTGATCAGCAAGGAACCAACGCCTGAGTGCCACCACTGCGATGGTCGTACCGTGGACACGGCACTCCACATGCTGGCAGAATGCCCGGCGTGGGTGGAGCAGAGGCGAGACTTTGTGGCGGCCATTGGAGTGGGAGTTTTCTCGCTCGATAACCTGATTGCGGCTATAGTGCGGAGAGTGCGTGGAACTCTGCCGTCTCCTTTTGCGAGCAAGTTATGCTTGCGAAGGAGATGGCGGAGCGGGACCGGGAGAGGTTAAGAACTCTCCCGGCCCGCCAGGCCTCGTAACGGGCCAGGTACTGCAGACGACTCAGGCGCCGGAGGTCGCAGAACGACCTCCGTCCTCCATAAGTGCAGGCCTGTGACAGGGGAGGCCATCTTTTCAGTTTCATTTTTATTATTTTAACATTTTGGTGTCTCTATTTTAGTTGGCCGTTTCCAGATATTTATTTAATTCCTTAAAAGTTTTATGTGTAAATATATTATTTAATATAAACAATTATTTTTATCATATAGATTTAACTGATAATATCTTATACATACATAAATTTTAATGAGGTTCTTAATAAATTCAAATATACGTAAATTGTTTAACTTATTTAATAATATAATTTAACTTAATGATTATAATAATACTTAATGAGTTTTAATAGCAGTTGTCACGACTTTATT